CTTGCAGGGTGTAGCGGTGGTCCAGGAGGGTGAGGGAGGTGGTGAGGCCAGCGGCCAGGGTGGGCCACCTCACCCTCACCAAGAACTTGGTGGAGTCACGGAAGTCCAGCACTAGGTGGGTGGAGGGAAGGGGCGCCGCCTGCCCCACACAACACAACTCTTACTCATCAAAACAAGGAATTTCTCTTCGCTCGGCAAATCAAGCAGCAAAAGGTAACATTTATATTATACATAATTTTAAATGATAAAACTAGGGATACTTAGACACATGAGGACTGCCTATTATTAATAACATGTAGCTGCAGCTGGCTACAACTAAACATTATTAACAACAATTAAAGCATTAACCAGTTCTTGATAACCTTAATGATGTATTTCTAACGGTTTATTTCTATAGTTTCACAGACATGGCAACCCAAGTGATCGTAAGAACTTAACGACCATATCTCGAGTGCCAGTATTACGTCGGAGTCCTCTCTCTCTCTGCTGAAGGTAAGTATAACAAACCAGTAGGTTCTGAATGTTAGAGATTACCTGGTCTAGGGAGAAGGCGAAGATCTTCTGGTACCACTGTAGAGGTGAGGCGCCAAACTCAGCCCTGACGACCATGTTGCCCCAGCCCCACTGGCTCACCACGTACTCCCACCCGGACAGCTCACGTGACAAGTTGAATATTTCTGTAGTTTGGAAAAAAACATTGGTGAGAATGGGCACCGGGAACGTATCTCAATATATGTATTCGCTTTAGTAAAACATCTGAGGTATTAGTTTATATTAAAACATTGTAGTTAATTAGCATGTACACTATAAGAACTAAGTCGGAATACTGCAAATAGCAAGAGACAATATTATCAAATATTATTCAAGCAAACATAACAAAGATCAGTATAATATCTTTATTCATCCAATTTCCCCCCCTCCCCCCGTAACTCCCCACCACCCCTTCTTCACACACATTTGCCACCATTAATTACAATATAACACATAAAACTTACGGTTTAGCGACCAGCCTAGCGGAGGACATAAAGGCGTTTGAGCAGCCTGGCGAATCCTTACTATGTGCCCTCCTGTAGGCGTGGCTGCGGGGGAGACCAGGCAAGAGTCAGCAGAGCGTGCAGTACGGGAGGGGAGGGGGGGTGGTTAAGCTGGTGAAGGGGCACCACCAACACGCCAAGAGGAGGACATGGACAAATATTTTTATATTTATTGACCAGGTCCACACATGACCGCAAGAATGTCTACCAGTTCAAGGATCTGGAGCTAGTATTTGTAAACGAGTTAAATAGGAAGGAGTATCAAGCTATTTTGAATGGATGATGATTGATAACCAGTCGTGAACTTTTAAGACAAATTGGTCATGAAACTATCTTAACTATCATTGACTAATGACAGTCGAACTTGGGACTGTTACTTTTCCTTAGAGTATATATATAACGGATGACCTCTATAACATTGTGATGATATCTATTTAATTTTCATTAGGCAGAGGCCAAAGACCCGGTACCAGAGTACAGATTAGTTAGGCCTCGCCAGTGACAGCCTGACACTCACGCTCAACAATATTGTCATTATGGCTAGACATGGAGACAGGGTGTGAGAGGACGACGGAGGTGAGCTAGTGGTCAGGAGGAAACTTTTCTTCACTGTCGAAGGGAGTTGAAAAATTAACTCTCCAAAGTTTATTTTCACACTTTTTATTTTGGTCTGATGCCTAGGGATGCGTTTTGCAAGGTCACTTTACATTCTCAAAGACAAGTTTACCATGTTGTTGGTGATGTTTTAGATTTAGCTACTCAGAACAAAATGTCCATGTAGCATGACCCTTAATCGTGAGCCCGCCTGTAATCGAGTACAGTTATTTGCGATAACCTTGTTACTGTGATATTTGGGTCAAAGTTTTAAATGGAGGTGGGGTTTCCTCCTTTTCTCCCGTTTTGTTTCCTTTTCAGTTTTAGCACACTGGTTTTTGGCTTGTTTTAATAACATTATCTTGGTGGCGGATATAGATGCATTGTTCACTAGTGTGTCCAATTCTTCAACTGATTTTCTAACCATTGTAGTCACTGTGGATTTTGCATCTAATGCAGCTGCTCTCATTGGATGAATGTTGAGTTTGATGCGCATGACTTCAGTTGCTTCACATTCCAGTAAATAGTGGCGCCTCTGCATCTGATCCCACAGATATGACACTCTTTAACTGTTGGGTTTACTACCTCCCAGCAGCACTTGTAACCAAGTCTGAGTCTGTGTATGGCTACTGCAATGTCTCTGGTTTATCTTTTTGTCAGGCTTGAAAGAGGAGTAACCAGTGGCTTGTACCACATTGCAGTGGGTTTTTCTTCTGCTACTTTGGCTCTCTGGCGACTTTTGATAGTTATCTTTTTGAGATCTTGAGGTTATCTTGAGATGATTTCGGGGCTCAGCGTTCCCGTGGCCCGGTCCTCGACCAGGCCTCCTTTTTGTTACACATCCACAGGAAGTACCTATTTTACTGCTAGGTAACAGGGGCATCAGGGTGAAAGAAATATTTTGCCCATGTCTCCGCCTCCACCGCAGATAGAACCCGGAACCTCAGGTCTACGAATTCGAAGCGCTGTCCACTCAGCTGTCAGGCGCCCTAGTTAGTTGGGAGTATTTTCTTCTTGATTTGCTCCTTAATCTGAAAAACTTGGAGATATTTGAACCTGTACAACAGGTAGAGCAGTGGCAGTTTTTGCTAGTGAGTCTGCCTTTTCATTACCATCTACGCCTATGTGACTTGGTATCCAATTTAGGGTGATTGACAGCCCTAGAGTGTGTGCTTCTTTTCCTATATGTAGGATTTCTGTGATGAGTTGTATACGATAATTATTAATTATATATTATTATTATTATAATAATATAACTAATAATTAATTTTATTATTAATGATTAATTATAATCATCTTCCTTCTGCTTGGTCATGAAGGAAGCCGGCCTCGGGTGAAAGAGGGCTGTGACGACCTCTGTCTGGTACCCATAGGTGCGGGACCGGGCCGTGCACCTCCTGGGGCTCGTGCGGCCCCAGGCTCCGCTTCAGGAGGCTGGGGTCGTTCTTGCCCTTGTTGGGGCGGTTCTTCTCCGGCCCCGACCACGGTGGTCTCCGGGTTTGGAGTCCCAGTGCCTTCTTTCACCAGCTTCAATGTTGTCAGAAAATCCGACACCATTTAATATATCATACAGACAGATAATTGCTGCTGTATTACCAACAAGTTACCCATAGAAAACGTAACTTGTAGTGGAATTACCATCTATAGAAAACGGGATATCATCACCACATACTATTATATTCTCCACCTATTATGGTGGGAATTATTCTTAAATACATTAGTCTTAGGACTTTACCATTATAAAAACATCTCATATAAATTAACTTAATTATCAATATTAAAGTAGAGTAAATGTGACCCTTCTATCACTTTCTGAAATCTGGACAATGTAAGCCAGGGTCAGAGAGGAAGGAGGGCAGCCATTGTTGTGTCACCTCCGAGACGTGTGGAGCAAATTCGGCTCCTATCATATCTGGACAATGTCGGCCAGTAGCGTCAATAGTATGGAGTGTTAGGCAGCCATTGTTTATACTAGACCAGAGGCACGGGAGCAAATACGGCTCCTGTTAATTTTACTTGGACGAAGTGTTATGGAAACCAAAGGTGTACCATTATCACACGCTGTCAACAAATTCAAGTTAAGTGTTCTTTCCGAAACCCATGTATCTTTCATTTATGGCCATTAATGTCATTATATAGGGTGATCCGGTTAGAGCACGTGGTAGCCTCAAACTAAAGGTAATTAAGCCAGGTCTTCATTGTTCCATGTACAGTTTTCTCTGATATACTTGTCATATATAGGATTCTGGCTTTACAGCTAGCGCCCTTTTGACAGGTCAAGACGAGGAAGACTTTGTGCACCAGTTACTGGGTGATGGAAGCTACCTCAAAGAGGATAATTTGGTGTCTACACCCTAGTTATACCTGGTGGACTAACCTGCTGTACTATAAGATAAGGAACCTTTTCAATGTATGTAGTTAATACTGTAGTTTGATTGGCTGCATATATATTTAATTAATATAAACCCCCCCTAATGTGTAGAGGATCGATTTGTGAGATTGAGATTATTGCAGAAATGCAGTCCACTTAACATCATACAAAGTGCTATCGAAGTATATAAATTTACGTAAATATAAATTCATATAAATTAAATAAATATAAATCTCACAGGTCGGTTCCCACAGATGTCAACTCCGGAGCTCACAGTTCCTGCGACTGAGTTGGAACCAATCGTATTGGCGTTTGCCTTTCAATTGGAGACTTTCGGCGCCGTGGAGAGGGGGGGACCCCTGCTGCATGGGTAACAGCTTCACCTCCATATCAACCTACCCTGGCTTTGCGCCCTGGAGAGGCCACTCCAGACTGACAACCAGAGTGCAACTCCATAGTCTCCTGAGACTGATGGATGCCTACTACTGTATATTATCTCTGTACAGGCAGGATAACAATGCCTGGAGCAAAGATTTAGAGTAGGTTTACCATATTTGGCTCTGGCTTATATTATCTTTGGGTGAGGTAGTAAAGAGCAAGTGGATGAAGGCATAACATAGGGGATATTGATAGGGTATTAAATGTATCATCATGGGCAGCTTATGTTCTTGTGGCTGCTTGCGTACCTAAGGCAGGGTCATTTGATCTTGTCTCTGTGTTGGCTCGGGGTCTTGAGTGGGTAGAATGTAATTATGTGTTAACTGGTTGTTGATTGCTGGTCTTGATCTTTTGATGTGTTGTCTTGTGTTGTCGTTATACCTGTCGATTATTTCAGTGTTGCTTGTTAAGATGTCTCTGGTGATGGTCTGGTTGTGTGAGGAGATTATATGCTCCTGTTGCTTGTGCATTGTTAATCACCTAGAGAGAGAAACGTTGTTGTCTTGTCTATATACTGAAGTCTTTAGGGCTGACAGTCTCCAAGTGGGCACGTGAAGGCATAGACGACGTTGGTCTCTTTTAAGGAGCTCTGCTTGGTGTCTGGAGAGTTCTTCATAAATAAGTAGGCAGTCTTCTTATTTTTGTAATATAATGATAATTGTATCTTCTGATTGGTGTCTAGGGGGATAACTTTCCTATCAATAATGTCTTTCAGAAGAACAAATCCAGAAGGGCCTTAATGAGGGTTCGAACTTACGCACGGGATGTTCCCAGACGCGCCTTAGTCAACTGTACCACCACGTGATCAAAGTCTTTCAGAACTCCTTCCTCCATTTTATAAGCCGTGGAAAAAAGTTCCTGTAAAACAATCTGATAGTGTACAGGTGTTGTGTTGGTTGCTGCTTCATAGGTTGTCTGGCGTGTCACCTTCCTTTAAATAACCTCTAGTGAAGAATATATATATATATATATATATATATATATATATAACTGAAAACTCACACCCCAGAAGTGACTCGAACCCATACTCCCAGAAGCAACGCAACTGGTATGTACAAGACGCCTTAATCCACTTGACCATCACGACCGGACATAATGAGGTGACAGCCGAGGCTATTTGAACCACCCCACCGCCGGCACTCGGATAGTAATCTTGGGCATAGCATTTTACCAAATCACCTCATTCTTTGGGGCCATATTGTCCTGGGGACCATTCAGGCTTGTTCGCATATATATATATATATATATATATATATATATATATATATATATATATATATATATATATATATATATATATATATATATATATATATAATATATATTATTAAATATGACCGAAAAAGTAAGATTAATAATTCTAACACGAATTTTCTCAATCTTTCGTACATTTCTTTTCACTGTTGGAGGTAAATCAAAAATCAATTCTCCAAAATTCATTTTTTATTTCTAGTCTGACGCGACACGAGCGCGTTTCGTAAACTTATTACATTTTCAAAGACTTTAGTTTACAAATACACAACTGAATAGAACTTACGCATCTCCGATTTTATATCTACATTTTAGTGAGGTGGATGGGGTGAGGTGGCATTAATAGGGTATTAATTTCATCAACACAAGACAGAACAAGAGGTGGCATTAATAGGGTATTAATTTCATCAACACAAGACAGAACACGAAACAATGGGTATTGAATAGAAGTGTTTGTAGAAAGCCTATTGGTCCATATTTCTTGATGCTTCTATATTGGAGCGGAGTCTTGAGGTGGGTAGAATATAGTTGTGCATTAATTGGCTGTTGATTGCTGGTGTTGACTTCTTGATGTGTAGTGCCTCGCAAACGTCAAGCCGCCTGCTATCGCTGTATCTATCGATGATTTCTGTGTTGTTTACTAGGATTTCTCTGGCGATGGTTTGGTTGTAGGAAGAGATCTCTTCCCACAACCAAACCATCGCCAGAGAAATCCTAGTAAACAACACAGAAATCATCGATAGATACAGCGATAGCAGGCGGCTTGACGTTTGCGAGGCACTACACATCAAGAAGTCAACACCAGCAATCAACAGCCAATTAATGCACAACTATATTCTACCCACCTCAAGACTCCGCTCCAATATAGAAGCATCAAGAAATATGGACCAATAGGCTTTCTACAAACACTTCTATTCAATACCCATTGTTTCGTGTTCTGTCTTGTGTTGATGAAATTAATACCCTATTAATGCCACCTCTTGTTCTGTCTTGTGTTGATGAAATTAATACCCTATTAATGCCACCTCACCCCATCCACCTCACTAAAATGTAGATATAAAATCGGAGATGCGTAAGTTCTATTCAGTTGTGTATTTGTAAACTAAAGTCTTTGAAAATGTAATAAGTTTTACGAAACGCGCTCGTGTCGCGTCAGACTAGAAATAAAAAATTAATTTTGGAGAATTGATTTTTGATTTACCTCCAACAGTGAAAAGAAATGTACGAAAGATTGAGAAAATTCGTGTTAGAATTATTAATCTTACTTTTTCGGTCATATTTAATAATATATGTCTACAGGAAAGACTGCTACCAAAGTATACTAATATATATATATATATATATATATATATATTTATTTATTTATATATTTATTTAATATGAATGCCAGTATTCTATTTGCCTTACTTTTAAAATTTATTGTTTGAGTTTTTGGCTTAAGATTCTTACTAATCATGACGTCTGTATCTTTCTTAAACTCAGAGTTGTAAATTTCCTTGTTATGCTCGTATCCAATTAGTCCATTATATTTATCATGATTAAACTGCATCTACCAATTTTTCGTCCATTTGAGAAGTTTATGTAAATCATATGTGCCAATTGTTTATGCTTTTCTAAATTTATTTGGTGTCCATTTTAATCATCTGCAAAGTTGCTAGAGTTACTGGTCAGTCCCGCGTCTAAATCAGTTATATAAAATAATGGGCATATGTATATCAAAGGAAACAAAGAGTATATATAAAGTGGGAGCTGTTGTGAGTGGAGCGCCCCAAGCTTGAGGAGTGACATGACTCCAGTGTTCACGTCGACGACAGGGCATAACAAAGGGATATTAATAAGGTATTAATACCTTATTAATAGAACACAAAATAGAACATGCAACAGTAGAGATAAATTGAATAAGTTTAGATTTAGGGAAGAGCTGGGTAAATACTGTCATGGAAACATGGTTGTTGGTTTGTGGAACAGATTACCGGGTGACATAATAGAGGTGGGATCGTTTGAGTGTTTCAAGCGTAGGTTAGACATATGTGGATAACTTTGCGTGGATATAAATAGGAGCTGCTTAGTATGGGCAGCTTCTGTTCAAAATTACTGGTAAGTGTGAAAATAAATAACAAGCAGTAGTCAAAATATTTTTTAGTAGAAATTAGTGAATCTTTGTTTTTGTAAACGTTGAAATTCTCACCATGAACTGACAGGTTAGACTTCAAATTGAGTACATCGCTGGTGAGTTCTTGTGTAATTGTCTGCGTCTCCTTCTCTGGCTCTGGTGCTCCTGGAGTGCCTCTCACAGATGAAGATTCCATGACTGTATCGTGAAGATCGCCCTCTTCCTTTGAGTGGTGTTGTGGCCGACACACCGCACCTCCAGGACTGCTCTTGACCTTGTATCCTTCCTTGTCACAGGCGGGCTCCTTGGCCCCCACGACGCTCACCTCCACGCTCACGAACTTGGCTCTTGCTCCTGTTGCTGAGTTCCTCAGCTCTGCCACAATCTCTGTTTTCTGGCTACTCTCCTCGGTTCTTGCGGTGACCTCAGTCTCCAGGATCAAGTGTAGCGGCACCAGGTGAAGCTCCCGCCGCCAGCTCCTGGAGAGTTACATACCAATAACTATGTACAGCCAGGATGGATCAGGGAGAGAGGGAATTACTTGTATCCACGCCACAGCTAAACTCTCCACTCAGTCGTGCCGCTCTCAAAACTCTCAAAATAAATTGTGGGATAATTTTTCACCAAGCCCAAATCCAAAGTTGTTACTAATCATACTTTTTAATATTATTAAACAAATATTATTAATAATATAAATTTTACACATAAATAGAAAACCCATCATGCATAGAACTAGCAAGTTTTTCATAACAAAATGACAAATTCTCACTCTCCCTTTTCATTATATTTCGGCAAAAATTAAGCATAGCACAGTGGACGGCGTTGGCACAACTGGATGGGTGACCGTGTAGATAGTCTTGCCCTAGCCTAAAAGGAGGGGGGGGGGGGGACCACGATAAGTTTAATAATCTTTTTGCCATAAATAATAGTATATCAGTAGCATAACAAACAGTCACTCCCACCTCTGCCCCGGCACCTTTCCTCACAAACACAAGTCTTCAGAAACCTCATCAAGTTACATAATAAGAATTAAGACGTGTTAGAAAGTCGCCTGTAAACAAGAATACCTCCTTCAGTGCTTCAGGTAATATAGTTATCTGGACAGCTAACTAATATAGGAACACAGGACACCTGACCTCTCATATAGGAACACAAGACACCGACTGACATCCTGGAGACCAGAGCAGGTGTTCACCTTCTCTTCTCCAGAGACAACGACTTAGAGAAGCTATTAGCCACCTCAACACGAGGATTGGGCCTGTGTTGAATTAGCCTAATCCTCATCACGAGGATTAGGCCTGTGTTGGATAAGCCTAATCCTCAACAAAAGGTTGAGGCCCAATCCTCAGCACGAGGGTTAGGCCTGCTAGATGCAGGCCTAACCCCTCACTCCACGAACGCTACCTGGCGGATAGGACAGTGTTTGCCAGACACATTAGCGAGTGGATCTCCGCCAGCAGCGATGACGACATCCTCGCCAGCATCAATGTCCTGAACCTGACGCTGACCGCGGTAGTGGCCAGGACCACCACCAACTCCGACGACCCCGCAGACCAACACTAAAGGTGACTGAATGATGGTCGCACGACCATCGCAGCGACCCACACCATGGAACACGGACTTAAGTGCGCCGGAATCTGGATTCCACCTGCCCAAGTGACCAAGGAACGATACACGGATCTTTGCCAGTGCTACGGGTACTCCCACTACACCAGGAAACGCACCGAGCAAGTGCAGAAATGCAGTACCTGCGCCCAGGAGCACCACTACACAGCCTGTACATCCTGACACCGACGCTGCCTACTCAGCAACTTCCCACACACTGCAGTTTCACCTGACTGTCTCCACCAGCAGGAGGAAATGACAAAGATGACGCCAACCACTACCCCCATCTCACGAGAGGTAGCCAACGCGCCTTTTCCGCTTTCCTGGCCTTGCCCAAGACCACACCTGGGGAAGCTGCTGCTACCTCACCACCGCCTGGTCCCTCGCCTCCGAGCTCACCTCTGCAACCCTTACTACCACCACCCAAGCCTGCAGTTACCACCACCAACACCCTCCTACCTGTACTTCTACATCTCGCCGACAAATTGGCGGGCAACGACGTCAACCTATACGTCCACAATCAACCGGCTGCTCACCGCAAATGGACTACCGACGGTGACGGTACCATGTGACCTTCCAGCACCTCCACCTGCGGCCGGCCTGGCGTCCGACCCCGCAACAGGCCCCACAACCAGTCCGGTAACAGGGACGCCACCCACCCTGGCTGCCCGTGCCAATGAAGAAATCACATCCAAAAGACGACGATGCACCACCCGTAATTCCCATAACCAACACCAGGAGGCTCTCCAGAGCGACCACCGACATCGACGAGAATGGCCTTGCGACCGACGACGAAGACAAAAGTATTGACCATGAGCTCTTCATTCCGCCCAGCGAGTTCAATGGCAACGCGCACACACCAGACGAAAATTGGCCTAGAAATGTAACAAGATAATCAGCCAAAACAAATTCCCGCACCCCATGTATGTCTACACCAACACCATGAACTCCTACACTGACCTCACCATACTGAAGAATACCGGAACCCAAAATTCCACCGCAAATTCTCAGACGGACAAATGCAATTCCTCGAAAAGGACGACGATCCTGATGGTACCAAGCTACCGAGGTTGTTCTGTTCATATATAAATTGTCGCCTTGCACATTAAACTGTAACCTGGCAACCAACTCTCCTGCGGACAAATAAACTGCGAGCAACCATGAAAACTACATCCATCCACAGATCTACGGTATCAGCTATTGGTACTGGTAATGGTTCCAAAGAGCCTCCACTTAAGAGCTATTCATGCCCGTGCCACCTTTTGGGTGGCTTAATCTTTATATCATCATCATCACCTGGTCTCTCATATAGGAACACAGGACACCTGCTCACGTGTTACAAGGGATGAAAGTCTGTTGTGTTAACAAAACGTAAAGTGATTACAAATATACTAGAATTTATAGTTATTTACAGGCTTTGTTTATTTATAATTGAACTGAAGATATGTCTCCTTAAATGACACATGTCGGATCTAAGCTAGACTTGAGACTTCTCTCTAACTTAAAGCTGCTCACTTTTCTCTACCTTTACCCAACGGCGCCAGAATAGCCTGTTTGTGGCACAAACTCTCGTCAAAAGCCAATGGGAGGGACAATTGCAATAAAGTTGAGTTATTTTCCACATAGAAGGCTGCCTGAAAGCTCACCCATCCAGAAACTGGCCACACCAGACGGTGCTTAACCTGACTGACAGTGACACGCACTTGTGATAGTGAGTAGGTGAACAAATAGTGTGATGACGCACTTGTGGTGTTGGTGAGGAGAGTGCGTGGTGGTGAGGTTGAGCAGGTGGGTTACCTCACCGCCGGCCCCCTGCCCACTTATTGTAGTGGTGTAGGTGCTTCCCCTGGTGCTTGCTGCCCACTGGTGATCCACCGCCACCTTCATCACCGTCTCCTCTTCGCCCACCAACGATCCTGATATTAGTCATAGTGGTGATATTAGTCGTAGTCCTGATTATAATGTAGTGGTGAAACACTAAATATTATTAATTATTTTAATCAGGTATACAATTCTCCGGACAAGCACATGTGGTGTCAGACGGAAGTTGAGAATGTTATGTCGTGGAGACGAGCGCCTCTCACCCGGGAAGACTGCGCCTCTCGCTACTCATTTGCCGCCCTTTTAATGTCTAGAGAACAAAGAAAGCTTAAAGAATTGTATATGAATTCATCAAGACGAATTTGATTGTCACAGGAATCGTTTAGAAAAAAATGAATAAGTTATTTTGAGGGGTAAATTTACAAATTCACACAAATGCTTTTAAAATATCAGGACTCGTATGAATGAAAACAAACAAAATTGTGAAAAAAGTCATGATAGTGTGCTATAAGTAATATTTTATTATTATATTGGAGGTTGATCCTACTGTAGGTCAGAGCTAGAGGTTTCAAGCTGGAGGTGCGCCCGGGGAGGGGGGGGGTGCTATGAGAGACGTATGCCTAGTCCTGTTCTCATATTTGGACTGTGATATCTGAATCTGTGATATCACCATGCATTTCGGCACTAACACTGTCAGTGACGCATATCTGATATATTCATAGATATTAAAGACCAGGTTGTTTCTGAGATGATAACAGCTCTTAGGTGCACTTACATCGCATCAGGCTTGGATACCCATGTGCATGGGTAATAGGCTTACAGGTTCCGGACGATGAAAGGAAATGTCAGCACTGTGGAGAAATGCCCGACAGACCACTGGAACATTATCTAACACAGTGCACAGATACAGACCAAATAAGATTTCAACTAAGATTCAACAGAGCAGAAGAAGTTGTTAAACATATGGAGCATAATCTAACTGAAGCGAACATACAAGTCATAAATACTCATTCTCCACGTAAATAAGACAAAAAAAGAAACGAGTATCACTTAGTGGGTCAGCCAGAGACTTAGAGCTCACGTAGGAATATTTCTGCAAAAAAAAAGCTCTTAGGTACATATACTATCCAGTTGGATGAAACCACAAACATAACTAATTGTGCTCAGTTGTTAGCATTCACGAGATGCATAAAGACGATGATCTTAAGAAAGAGTTTCTTTTGTTGTCAGCCCTTCGAAGCTTCAGCTGCAGATATTTTTGAACAAGCTAATTCTTTCTTCGATGCAGAGGGACTACAGTGGTATAATTTATATGGTTGCACAACAGATGGAGCCCTTGCCACGCTAGGCAGTCTGTCAGCATTTAAAACAGGAATGAAAACTGTTAAGAGTAAGGCTGAACATGAACACTTCATGATGCACAGGGAGGCCTTATAACTTCTAAGACGCTGCTTGCTAAAGTGATTGATAACACAGTAAAGATGATCATATTCGTAAAGTGCTCCAAATACTAGAATATTTTGACTTGTGTGTTCAGATTTAGACTGATCACGACACACTCTTGTGTCACTCAGAGGTTCAGGGGTTATGTCGAGGAAATGTTGTCGAGAGAGTTGTTGAACTCAAGGACGAGCAGAGAGAGTGCTTCAGCTCTAAGATCAAGAAGGAAACTGATATATCATGTCCGTATCTCGGATTTTGTTGATCCGCTCGCCAACATATTCACAATCAAACTTTGCAAAGGGCTGATCACTGATTTTGTTGATAAGCTGAAGTTTTCTTGTAAAACTAGAACTCTGAGAGATAAAGTGTGGAAATTAAATTTTTACATGTTTGAGCCACTCACTGACATGTAGGACGCCTCTAATGCATGCAACATATAGTCTTCCCGGCTTAGTGCCTACTTTTTTATATTTTACCTCTAGTGATGCAACCCGTCCTAATAGAGCGTCACATTTTGACGTATACTCTCCCTAAGGCCAAAAATTGTCGTACTAGAAAATGGTAGTGGCTCGCCAAACTGACATACTGTCCCGTTTTCTGTTTTAGGTTCGCTGATAGATTAGGATAAGTTCAATTTCTTTCTTTATTATGCACCCCATACCCATCCAGTGGGCGGTGGTGTAAAGGATTACAGAGGCACATAATCGGTTCAGGAACTGAACCCTCTAGTTCGTTTAGCTAAGTAAATAACAATTTTTTGGTTTTAGTTAATTTTAAGGGTACTTCAGTATGACAGTTCCTTGACGGTGGGAAACCTTAGGAGGCCGGGATGGCAGAGAGTGGAACACCTCTTTTTAATTGTAATATATAAACTAAAGATACCTTCCAAGTATGGGTGTACAGGCTCACCATAGCCCGTGCTACTTAGAATTTTTTTGTTCTGAGTAGCTGAATCTAAAACAACAGCAACATTCCAAGTAGGTTACTGACACACACACTGTGACCCCTTGAGAGGGTGGACACAATGCGACCCCTTGAGTGGGTGGACACAAACGTCTAAAGGTTAGAGCTACCACCCCCCCCCTCTTTCACGGTCATGCGTTTGGGAAAAGCGATATTCTGAAGGTCCTGAAGGACGTGGCCGGCATCGCACCCACTGACATTAGTCAGGAAGGTGATGGTATAGTGATCTTCTTTTCATGTGAGGAAGAGCTAGAAAAACTCTTGACCAACGATGCCATACTTCGCAAGGAGCACCACCTACATCCTCACTTCCCACGTCAGTTCCTAGCCGTAAGAACTATACCAGCAGGACCAGTCAGTGGATCGCTGACCGACCGCAACATAATATCATGGACAATATTGAGGACAAAAATCCGAACCTGGATGTATTCAACCTAGAGTTCTGCAGCACCGACACATCATCAATGAAGATTACTTTCACCACCATTGCTGCGGCCACCCAGACTGCCAGTAGTAGGGATGACCCCGTAGGAATGATTTTTTGTTTTTGGGAAAAATCACTCATATGGCACAGGGTTTTCAGGTAAATTTGGCCAGTCACTCATACGGGGTCAGGGTTTCCAGGGGAATTTGGCTAGTCACTGATTTGGAATTAAGGCATTCTTATGAGAAAAATAATTTCCGAGATTTTAGAAGTTTGTTAAGAGTTCTTATGGGAGAAAATAAGTAAGACAATCTTACAGAAAAATTCCCTATTATTTTTTTTTATTAATATATGAGGTACATCTGCATTAGTGCAGCTACCCTAGACTATATGAAGTGGAGTACAGTGTGTCAAAAAAGCTAACTAGGTGATGCTAAAAAATCCCCATCACACAGGATGGTTAGTCATACAGAGGCATGTGATAAGCAGTCTACACTGGCAGACTCTGGATGCATTTTGAGGATATTATCAACACAAGTTTGAATAAGGTAGCAGTGGTAATACAAGTCCCCATCTCGCAGGATGGTTAGTCATACAGTTCCAGGTAAAGTCTACGGAAAAAGCGTGCCCATTTTCAAATCGCACATTTTTCAAATACCATTTTCTGAGAATATATTCACAGACGTTTTGTTAAGGAAAATAAAGTAAACATCGAAAATTATTCAGAGTCCACTTTGTGAGCAAAATTCGTCAGAGTCCAGTAAAGATAAAAAATTCGTTAGAGTCCAGGTTATGCCTGAAAATTTTCAGAGTCCAGTTTGTTCCCTCTGTAGTGTATCCCCGTAACATCTTTACTAGCAGTCCAATCCCCCTGAAATTTTAAACAGTCATATTTCAGACATAGTAAATATAATTCGAACAATTACCGAGTTCTAGCTCTTGTCCACTGCCTTAGCTCTCTCGTATCTTCGTTAATACCTAATCAATTTCCCTGAAATTTAAACCCCCTGTATTTCAGACACAGTAAGTAAGATCAAGTCAGCTACTGAGCTCCAGCTCATGTCCCCCACCTTAGTCAATTTGTACAAGTTCTTTAGTAACAGACTAATTTTCCCTGAAATTTGTAACTGCGGTATATTCAGACATAGTAAAATAGTTCCAAACAATTACCGAACTCTAGCTCACGTCCGCTGCCTTAGCTCATTTGTACATGTTCTTTATTATCAGACCAATTCCCCTGAAATTTAAGATCACTATATTTTTAACGTAGTAAAATAAATCAAAACATTAACCAAGTTTCAGCTCATGTCCTCCACCTTAGTTCAATGTTCATCAAAATTATTTCAGATCAGGCCCCTCTCCAGTCTGTAAAAAATGAGCACTGAATATGTGAAGAACAAGCTAAGAACATTGAGAACATGAATATTGAGTATAAAAGTTGTACAGAGAACATATGATGTACATGAAAAACATGACAAAGAACACAGTGAACATACTGGGAAAATGGCAGAAAACAGAAAAAAATGGAGAAAACTGGTGAAAAAAATATGAACTTAACATGCTATGAATACTTGCTGAACATGGAGTGAACACAGAAAACATGGAAAAGAATGCGAAGAACACGGTGAATATAGAGAAAATATATAAATACAGTAGGATTATTGAAGGTTTGGATGAGTTGGGAAATGGGAGAGATGAAGGGGGAGGTAAGGGATGAGAAGGTAAGGGGGAGTAGGGGGTGAGGGTGAGATGAAGGGTGAAAGGGTGTTGGGAGAGGTAAAGGAAGGGAAGGTAAGGGAGGGATGGGGTAAGGTGAGATTTTTGACCGTGTGATTATTGCTTACTTGGGTAAACAAAAGGTATTGAAGGTAAGGTGTTATATGACCGTGTGAATGTTACATAGCTGAGTACAAAAAGGGTATTAAAGGCCATGATGTTTTACTTTTGATAGACTGGAGAGGGGCCTGATCTGAAATAATTTTGATGAACATTGAACTAAGGTGGAGGACATGAGCTGAAACTTGGTTAATGTCTTGATTTATTTTACTACATTAGAAATATAGTGATCTTAAATTTCAGGGGAATTGGTCTGATAATAAAGAACATGTACAAATGAGCTAAGGCAGCGGACGTGAGCTAGAGTTTGGTAATTGTTCGGAACTATTTTACTATGTCTGAATATACCGCAGTTACAAATTTCAGGGAAAATTAGTCTGTTACTAAAGAACTTATACAAATGAACTAAGGTGGGGGACATGAACTGGAGCTCAGTGGCTGACTTGATCTTATTTACTGTGTCTGAAATACAGTGGGTTTAAATTTCAGGGAAATTGATCTGCTACTAAAGAACTTGTCCTCCACCGTAGTTTCATTTGTACAAGAGCTGGAGCTCGGTAACTGACTTGATCTTATTTACTGTCTCTAATATACAGGGGGTTTAAATTTCAGGGAAATTGATTAGGTATTAACGAAGATACGAGAGAGCGCTAAGGCGGTGGACAAGAGCTCGAACTCGGTAATTGTTCGAATTATATTTACTATGTCTGAAATATGACTGTTTAAAATTTCAGGGGGATTGGATTGCTAGTAAAGATGTTACGGGGATACACTAAGGAGGGAACAAACTGGACTGAATATTTTTAAGGTTAAAACTGGACTCTGCAAAATTTTAATTAATTTTGTCAATAAAGATGTTAATAAATAATAATAATCTGATTATTTTCTGGCATAAACTGTGGTCTGAAAATGGACTCTGACGAATTTTGCTCACAAAGTGGACTCTGAATAATTTTCGATGTTTACTTTGTTTTCCTTAACAAAACTTCTGTGAATATATTCTCAGAAAATGGTATTTGAAAAATGTGCGATATGAAAATGGGCACGCTTTATCCATAGAGTTTATCTGGAAACCCTGTGTCTTAAAAGGGATTCTGTGAGCAGGAACTACGGCATGATCTCCCGCACTACATCACTGAATGCCCAGTTATTAGACCTTTCAGACCAGTTGGCATGAGGTACCTGGAGCTTTGCAATTACTTTATTCACTCTCGTATTCTTGAAGATATCCTCACAGTATACCCAAAATTTGCCAGTGCAGGCTATTAAACACATGGCTCTGTATGACTAACCATCCTGCGAGATGGGGACTTGTATTACCACTGCTACCTTATTCAATCTTGTGTTGTTGATATCCTCAAAATGCATCCGAGTCTGCCAGTGCAGACCGCTTATCACATGCCTCTGTATGACTAACCATCCTGTGTGATGGGGATTTTTTAGCATCACCTAGTTAGCTTTTTTGACACACTGTACTCCACTTCATATAGTCTAGGGTAGCTGCACTAATGCAGATGTACCTAATATGTTAATAAAAAAAAAAAAAATTAAAAGGGATTTTTTCCTGAATTTTTCTGTAAGATTTTCTTACTTATTTTCTCCCATAAGAACTCTTAACAAACTTCTAAAATCTCGGAAATTATTTTTCTCATAAGAATTCCTTAATTCCAAATCAGTGACTAGCCAAATTCACTTGGAAACCCTGACCCTCGTATGAGTGACTGGCCAAATTTACCTGAAAACCCTGTGCCAAATGAGTGATTTTTCCCCAAAACAAAAAATCATCCATACGGGGTCATCCCTACTACTACTGCCACACAAGGTTTCTACTGTGTGGCAGCAGAAACTACTGTTTCTACTAACCATCTCGCAGGATGGTTAGTCATACAAATACAACCCCACCAAGTGAAAAAAGGAACGATACCATGAGCTTCAACAGTGCTTCAAGTGCTTCGAGCTCTCCCACCCCACCAACAAGTGTCAGCACCCTGTCCAGAAGTGAAGCCTGTGCGCCCTGGACCATCACTACTCCATATGTAAGGCAACATACCATTGCATGCTCTGCGATGGCAATCACCCAACAATTTCCTACCGCTGCCCACCGCAGACAGGAAAACATCAAGGCCCAGGTTGAAGCCAAGAGAAACAACCCTTCTACCTCCGCGACTAGATCCCCAGGTGTGGAGCCAAGTATGTCTGAAGTGGATTTAAAGATAATTAGAAATCCATATCATATAGATATTGCTTCTGTTAATAATAATTATTCAACAAGAATATATTCACCTTGTGAAGGACTCCACTGGACGTTATCTCTGACAAAAAATCTGTTCTGGTGTAAAATATCAAAGTCATGCCCGTGTCTTCCAGAGGAAGCTGTTCGCTTTCTCTTTTATATATTTATATATACAATAGTTCTTACATTCTTGTAAAGCCACTAGCACGCATAGCATTTCGGGCAAGTCCTTAATCATAATTTTCCCCAAAATACGACCCGCCAAATCGTTTAACAACCAGGTACCCATTCACTGCTGGGTGAACAGAGGCTACAGTTAAGGACTGGCGCCTAGTCAACCCTCCCCGGCAAGGATACGAACCCAGGCCAAATCGCTCGCGAAGGGTGGGGCGAGTGTCTTACCACTGCATCAAGGGGACATTTACTTATACCAGCAACATATTTCTGTGGATCTGGAGTTTCCAGCTCACTAATAATAAAATCTGGACTGAATGTGGAAGCTGACCTTGGGTGTGTCTTCACCACAACTGCTCCTGCTCTACTTAGGCCAGTAGAGCAAGAACACCACCAGCCGTCTCATTAATTCACTTTCAAGTTGAGGCCATAATAATAATACTTTAAAATAGGTTATGAGAACAGCTGCAACCTTTCCCTTTAATTTTGCTGCAGCTTGTGTCAGATATTTGCTAAAGATGGTAAATAACTATACTTTTGTGCATTCAAAACACAGTACATTAGTTTTGGAACCAATACAGCACCACCACACGTGATGCCTTGTTCCACAATTATATTCTCAGTTCCTCTTTATGTTTATGGAAATATTATTCAATTATTATAATAATAATTGTTGTATTTAATAATGATAACTCTTCCTTCTGCTTGGTCTTGAAGCAGGCCGGCCGCGGGTGAAAGAGGGCTGTGACGATCTCTGGTACCCGTAGGTGCGGGACCGGGACGTCCACCTCCTGGGGGCTCGTGCGGCCCCAGGCTCTGCTTCAGGAGGCTGGGGCTGTTCTTGCCCTTGATGGGATGGTTCTTCTCCGGCCCCAATCTCGGCGGTCTCCGGGTTTGGAGTCCCTTCCCTTTTTTCACCAACTTGTGAGGTCAACCCCGGAACTCACAGTTCCTGCAACGGCGTTGGAACCAGTCGTATTGGCATTTGCCTTTCCATTGGAGACTTTCGGCGCTGTGGAGAGGGGGGGGGGATCTGCTGCATGGGTAACAGCTTCTCCGTATCAATCTACCCTGGCTTTAGGCCCTGGAGAGGCCACTCCAGACCGATAACCAGAGCGCAACTCCATAGTCTCCTGAGACTGATGGATGCCTACTATTCAATGGTTATATAGTTACCCATTGAGTGAGGTTATTTACAAATATACACAACTGAATGTTATTCTACGTTGTTTCAGTTACCTACCCACGTACCCATCTGGGTGTGGATAACCCAAAATGCTCAAAGGGTACGTGGAAGGAAAAAGACTGACCCCCCCCCCCGTGCCCAAGGTGGTAGCACGTGGTCTCCTCAGACCAGATGATGTGCCCTGTACCCTCACTCCTAGTACACGTGACGAGATCTAGCGTGACTGAGACAACAATACCAGGTGGAATAAGGTGATCTGCGGGAAGACAGCTGCATTTACTGCCAAGAAAACATTTTAATTTGCAAATCGCTTGTTAAGGAAATTAATTTATTCGTAGATAGTTTTATGACTGATATATTTCTCAGTGCGGGAAGAATGTAGATCGCTCATAATTGGACAATTACAATTTTTTTCAACCACTGGAATTACTCCAACTTTTTAACAAAAAAAAATTATTTCGCTTTAATAAATAGTTTCTCATAGTAATGATATAATATTTGACTGTTCTGTTTGTATATAAACATTCCACATGTGCATATATGTACACCACTTCATATGCGTATAAATTCAAAACCACATGAATATTCGTAAATACGTATATATAGTTTCATTTGCTGTTAAAGGCAGAAGTTTTCTGCAAGAGATTGACTACTAGACTTACCAGACGAGGTGTATAGTGTGAGGGAGCTCACCTGGGGAAAGGAGCGGCCAGCCTGAACCCTCAGACTCCACCACCGACTACCGCGGGTCTCACCATCTTCACTGCTGCTGCTGCTGCTGCCCTCGTCACAGCTACTGGTACCTTCCATGTTTCCGTCTCTGCCACATCTATCGTCACAGTTACGGCCTCCGTCACCGTCTTTATGGTCACAGTTGTGGCCCCCGTCACTGCGTGCGTCACCATGCGCAGCTTGGGGCCCCGAGGTCACAGTCACCGTACCTTCAGATGAGGTCAACAGGACGCTCTGTGGGTACATCAGTAAACATTCATCATCCCCCCCAACTTACCTGCTCAAAATAACGTTTATGCATTAATAATAATAACAATAAAAACATAAATTATTGGATTCTATATTTCGGCACAATCAGGGCGTTAGGATATACCTGTACAGCGTATATATTCACGCAATTGATTACAATAGTTTGCAGACCAGGAGTACGATATTATGCCACCGCCCGGCCACGGTGGAGACGCGGGTTGACCTCTCACAAGATGATTATAACTTAGAACAATTATCCCGTGGTGGAGACAATTGATCTTGTGCCACAAAACTTCGTTATACACCTGCAGGTGGGAGAATTATCACACCACACCTGCAGGTGGGAGTACTACCACACCACACCTGCAGGTGGGAGAAGCAGCAATGACGAAGGAAAGTGAGACAGACGGCACACTCACCTGGTCTCTCCCGTCCCACACTAAGGCCAGACCCTCACTCTTCTCCCTGGTGGTGTTGACGACGAGGTGCAGGTGTGTGGGAGGGTGGTGCAGGTGTGTGGGAGGGCGTGCTGGCCCCGAGACCCACGTCGTCATCACCTCCACCTGCCCACTGTAGGCCACCTTCACCTGGGAGCTGCACGTCGCCACGCACGTCTGAGGCACGACGAGAACATGAAGATTAACACAGACACTCTGAACGTCTGCCAACATTCAGTAGTTATTAATTTGTGATACAATAAGAGGCAAAAAAGCACAAATCGTTGCAACAGCTCCACGAGACTAGCCAGACATCTTGCAACAGCAACTGGCATGGAGGGCATTGCCAGCCCGAGGCCCTGTCACCATAGTGTAGTGACGAAGGCTCACCTGAGAGGTGAAGTTGAAGGTTGCAGGTGTTGAGGTCGAGAGCCACCCACCAGGTCTCCTGCAAGATGAGGGAGTGTGGTTACTGATGGGGCCTGAGGAGCCCCAGGGAGCACACGGGCTGGGGACTACAGGTCGGCCAGGTTGGCCCGGGTGCCGGGGGGGGGGGGAACGCTTCGTGTAGCAAGCTGGCTATTGTCTTTATCTCTGATTAGTATCTCTGACACACGGCCATTGTAAGCTGTGAGCGCGTTTGTATGTGTGGCGCCACTTTGTCACGCATTCGCATACGCGCGCGCGCGCGCGCGCACACACACACACACACACACACACACACACACACACACACACACACACACACACACACACACACACACACACACACACACACACACACACAAAAATGGAATCAGTATAGGAAGAGGCCAAACCCCCAAACATACCAGCGATACAAAGATGCGAGAAACAATTATACAGCAGTAAGGAGAGAGGCAGAAAGAAATTTTGAAAAAGGGATAGCAGATAAATGTAAAACAGAACCGGGCCTATTCTACAAATTCATAAACAACAAATTGCAGGTAAAGGATAATATCCAGAGGTTGGAAATGGGAAACAGATTCACGGAAAATGAAAAGGAAATGTGTGAAACATTAAATGAAAAGTTCCAAAGTGTGTTTGTACAAAATGAAATCTTCAGAGAACCAGACACAATAAGAATTCCAGAGAACAACATAGAGCGGATAGAGGTGTCTAGAGATGAAGTGGAAAATATGCTAAAGGAGCTCGGGAAGAACAAAGCAGCTGGCCCAGATGGCGTTTCACCATGGGTTCTGAGAGAATGTGCATCTGAGCTCAGCATTCCACTTCACCTGATCTTTCAGGCATCCCTGTGTACAGGAATCGTAGCAGACGTGTGGAAACCGGCTAACATAGTTCCAATCTACAAAAGTGGCAGCAGGGAAGACCCCCTCAATTATAGACCTGTATCATTGACAAGTGTAATAGTGAAAGTATTGGAAAAGCTAATCAAAACTAAATGGGTAGAACACCTGGAGAGAAATGATATAATATCAGACAGACAGTATGGTTTTCGATCAGGAAGATCCTGTGTATCGAATTTACTCAGTTTCTATGATCGGGCCACAGAGATATTACAGGAAAGAGATGGCTGGGTTGACTGCATCTATCTGGACCTAAAAAAGGCTTTCGACAGAGTTCCACATAAGAGGTTGTTCTGGAAACTGGAAAATATTGGAGGGGTGACAGGTAAGCTTCTATCATGGATGAAAAATTTTCTGACTGATAGAAAAATGAGGGCAGTAATCAGAGGCAATGTATCGGAATGGAGAAATGTCACAAGTGGAGTACCACAGGGTTCAGTTCTTGCACCAGTGATGTTTATTGTGTACATAAATGATCTACCAGTTGGTATACAGAATTATATGAACATGTTTGCTGATGATGCTAAGATAATAGGAAGGATAAGAAATTTAGATGATTGTCATGTCCTTCAAGAAGACCTGGACAAAATAAGTATATGGAGCACCACTTGGCAAATGGAATTTAATGTTAATAAATGTCATGTTATGGAATGTGGAATAGGAGAACATAGACCCCACACAACCTATATATTATGTGAGAAATCTTTAAAGAATTCTGATAAAGAAAGAGATCTAGGAGTGGTTCTAGATAGAAAACTATCACCTGAGGACCACATTAAGAATATTGTGCAAGGAGCCTATGCAATGCTTTCTAACTTCAGAATTGCATTTAAATACATGGATGGCGATATACTAAAGAAATTGTTCATGACTTTTGTTAGGCCATAGCTAGAATATGCAGCTGTTGTGTGGTGCCCATATCTTAAGAAGCACATCAACAAACTGGAAAAGGTGCAAAGACATGCTACTAAGTGGCTCCCAGAACTGAAGGGCAAGAGCTACGAGGAGAGGTTAGAAGCATTAAATATGCCAAAACTAGAAGACAGAAGAAAAAGAGGTGATATGATCACTACGTACAAAATAGTAACAGGAATTGATAAAATCGACAGGGAAGACTTCCTGAGACCTGGAACTTCAAGAACAAGAGGCCATAGATTTAAACTAGCTAAACACAGATGCCGAAGAAATATAAGAAAATTCACCTTCGCAAATAGAGTGGTAGACGGTTGGAACAAGTTAAGTGAGAAGGTGGTGGAGGCCAAGACCGTCAGTAGTTTCAAAGCGTTATATGACAAAGAGTGCTGGGAAGACGGGACACCACGAGCGTAGCTCTCATCCTGTAACTACACTTAGGTAATTACACACACACACACACACACACACACACACACACACACACACACACACACACATTGTCTTGGATTGTCGGAAAGCCTTTGACACAGTACCGCATAAGAGGCTGGTACATAAGCTGGAGAGACAGGCAGGTGTAGCTGGTAAGGTGCTCCAGTGGATAAGGGAGTACCTAAGCAATAGGAAGCAGAGAGTTACGGTGAGGGATGAGACCTCCGATTGGCGTGAAGGCACCAGTGGAGTCCCACAGGCTTCTGTACTCGGTCCTATCTTGTTTCTGATATATGTAAATGATCTCCTGGAGGGTCTGATATATGTAAATGATCTCCCGGAGGGTATCGATTCATTTCTCTCAATGTTTGCGGACGATGCTAAAATTATGAGAAGGATTAAAACAGAAGAGGACTGTTTGAGGCTTCAAGAAGACCTAGACAAGCTGAAGGAATGGTCGAACAAATGGTTGTTAAGAGTTTAATCCAACAAAATGTAATGTAATGAAGATAGGTGTAGGGAGCAGGAGGCCAGATACAAGGTATCATCTGGGAGAGGAAATTCTTCAGGAGTCAGAGAAAGAAAAAGATTGGGGGTTGATATCACGCCAGACCTGTCTCCTGCAGCACATGTCAAGAGGATAACATCAGCGGCATATGCCAGGCTGGCCAACATACGAACGGCATTCAGAAACTTGTGTAAAGAATCATTCAGAACTTTGTATACCACATATGTCAGGCCAATCCTGGAATATGCAGCCCCAGCATGGAGTCCATATCTAGTCAAGGATAAGACTAAACTGGAAAAGGTTCAAAGAACATAAGAACAAATTGATTCCCTCTTTTCTCAAAGAGGGAATCAAAACAGAGCCACACACAGAAACTATTTGGATTGAATTAAACGAAAAAGCTAATAATATTATAATAGGAGTAATATATAGGCCACCAAATTTAGACAGAATGGAAGCAAAGCATCTATGGGATGAAATATCTAGAGCATCTAGATCTAACAGTATTTATGTCATGGGTGACTTTAATTTTAGCGGAATAAACTGGTTGAACAAAACAGGGAATAGTGAAGCAGAAGATTTCTAGAATTAATTGACGATTGCTTTCTTACGCAACACATTAAGGAACCAACACGGGAAAATAATATTTTAGATTTAGTGTTAACTAACAGGGAAACGCAAATTAATGACATCGAAATAGGGAGTGAGCTAGGGAGCAGTGATCACAAAGAAATCAGATTTAGCATAGAATGGAATAGACCAGTAGGAGAAAATTCTGTTAAAGTGCCAGATTTTCGAAAAGCTGATTTTAATAGCCTAAGAAATTTTTTGGGTCAAATTGATTGGAAAGGCTTGGGTATGGGGTGTGGGCCAGTCTTGGAGCGAGACATGAACCCAGCGATAGGTGACTTAAATGGGGATTTCGATGTGGATTCAATATATAACTTATTTAAGAATATTCTAAACAAAGCACAGGAACGTAGTATACCATACAAATTGAATAGATCGTATACTAATGACCCAAAGTGGATAACAAAGAATTTGAAGAACCTTATAGGTAAAAAGAGAGCTTGGTACAAAAGGATTAAAAATGGGGAGGTCACTTTAGAACAGGAATTCGTACAACTGGTTAGAAATGTTAAAAAAGAGATAAGGAAAGCAAAAAGAAACTATGAAGTTCGCATATCAGGGCAAGCAAAGACAAATCCTAAAGGGTTTTTTCAGTTATATCGTACTAAGACTAGGGAAAGGATAGGTCCATTAAAAACTGAGACAGGTCAAATAACAGATAGTGATGAAGAGATGAGTAGTATTTTTAATAAATATTTTGTATCTGTATTTACTAAAGAGGAACTTAACAATATGCCTTCAGCTGAACAAGTCTATGTGGGTGGGGACGAGGACAGGTTGACGAGTTTAGCAGTTACCAGGGAGGATGTTCTTAAACAAATAGTAAAACTCAAACCAAACAAATCCCCAGGGCCGGATGAAGTGTTTGCTAGGGTGCTTAAAGAATGCAAAGAGGAGCTTTGTGACCCACTGTCAACCATATTTAATAAATCAATAGAGTCAGGCAGAGTGCCAGAGTTTTGGAAAGTTGCTAATGTGATACCAGTTTTTAAGAAAGGAGATAGATCACTTGCGTCTAACTATCGACCAATTAGCCTAACGTCTATTGTGGGAAAGTTACTCGAATCTATAATAGCAAATAAAATTCGTCTTCATCTTGAAAAACATAAATTAATAATTGAGTCGCAACATGGTTTTATAAATGGCCGTTCATGTTTAACAAATTTGTTATCTTTTTATTCTAGCATTGTTGAGGCAGTTGATAGTGGTAAGGATTGCGATGTTGTATACCTTGACTTTAGCAAAGCTTTTGATACAGTGCCACATGAAAGACTGATTAAAAAAAATAGAGTCTCATGGTATTGGGGGTGCTATATTAAGCTGGATTAGGGCATGGCTATACCAAAGGAAACAGAGAGTTAGTATAAATGGAATCAAGTCAGAGTGGGAAAATGTTGTAAGTGGAGTGCCTCAAGGCTCTGTCCTGGGACCTCTGTTGTTTATAATATATATAAATGATTTAGATTCAGGTTTGAGTAGCAACATTTGCAAATTTGCCGATGATACGAAAATCGGTAGGGAAATTAATTCGGAGGAGGACTCACTATCACTTCAAGTTGATCTAGATAGGGTTTTGAAATGGTCAAAGGATTGGCAGATGCAGTTTAATGCTGATAAATGTAAAGTTCTGAGGTTAGG